CCCCCCCCCTAAACTCATCATATGTACAAACGTTTTCATTCTCTTCTTGTGTCTTTTTAATAAAAGGGATCAGTAATTAAAGATAATTTAGAACCACAATGGCCATTTCAGGAGTCCCTGAACCTCTGAAGACTTTTCTTTTTTTTTTTTAAGATTTATTTATTTATTCATGTAGAATTGGGGTATAGGCCAGAGATGCGGAGGGTGAGAGGATTCACCAGAGACAGAGCGGGGAGCAAAACAGGCAGATCAACGAAGTACACTGCTGAGGAGAGCAGTGGGCGGGTCAGGAGAGGTCTGCCGCACCATGTGGATCTCCTCCGGGGCAGGCAGGAATCGAACTCATGCGGAAGTGGCTTACGCTTCTCAGTGCTGTGCTTTAACCCGCTGCGCCACCAGGGAGGGCCTGAAGACTTATTTTCTTGAATGCAAAATTGGGGTTGTGTAATCCAAGTCAAGAAAAGTCAAAAGGATGCTTATTTGGCATTAGTGTCCAAGACACATCAAAACTAAAATTACTCTCCAAGAGACTATCACAACCCTGACAGAGGCTGAAACATAACTAGAAGATAAGGAAAGCTTTAAATTCTCCCCCACCTGTCCTGCTTCCTCTGTCTGCCACCCCATATCTGCCTTTTGTGTCAGAAGGAAATCCAGAAGTTCAGATGAGAGTTCCCTTTTGTTTCCTTTCTTGTTTTCTGAGAACTTGGCTTCGTCCCATGGACAAAAATGTGAGTAAAATGCCACTTGCAGCTAAGATCCATTAGGGGAATCATCATCTTTCTTAGCTTATGCTTAGAAATCTTACAGTGAGAATATTTTTTGCACCCTCGTTAGGGACACCTCTTGGGTCAATGAATATTGCCAGAATTATTCTCTCTTTGGGCTGAAACCTGACAAAAGATTTGAAAGGATTTTTAAATAGCGCTGTGGTCAAGGTTTGGCCAAAGTGGAATCTGATATTCAGAGCCTTATAGCATAGAAAGAGAAAGAAAAAATAGATTTCTAAGTGTACTCAGAGAGAGAGAGAGAAAAGCATTCCCCCTAAAACACAGCTCCAAATCTAGAAAGAGCTTCCCAAGGCAGAAAATTAGATGAAACTGAGAGGAAAGTTGGATGTAGGAGGCTACAAATCATCTCTTAGAGCCATGAAAAGGTAACCTCATTTTACAATCCTATGCAATTCTAGAAATACAATTCCTGTTCATCTCAACTATTGGAAAACTCTGGCCTTAGAAAATAGTCTTTCTGGGGGGAAAAAATTCTTATCTGAATCATTTAAGTGAAAGCTTTAGGGAGGGAAGAAACAGAGAAGGATGCTGTAGTTGGTCAGAGAAGCAGGCAGCAAGGCAAAGATGTAGAGAAATTGGAGGTTGAGGAAGCTGAGGAGGCTGAGGGGTTGGGAGGCAGAGAAACTGGCAAGCAGAGAGGCAGCAACCACACCTCCCAGCACTAGCCCCTATTTCCCCGCCCCTGAAATCTCCCCTTTTATCCCTTGACTCTCCTCCCAGGTGTCCATATTTAAATATGCACACACCCTGTGCTCAGGCCTCCAAGCGCTTTTTGCATTAACACTTTATCAGGTGTGGGCAACAATACTCGGGAAGACAGCAAGCCCACAGCTGCCAGCCATGGAGGCGGCCGGCGGGAAGCAAACCAGCCTGAGTAATTCCCTTCTCTTTACACCATTTAGTGGTAAACTTACGTACAATAGTCTCTATACATGTTGATTTTCTATGATGTGCATCTGAAGTTTTAAAATGTTACAATGCAATGCTGCTGGAAAAAAGATAAAATAAAAAAGAGCTATATGAAGACTTCTTTTGCTCCAAATCTAGCCCACAGAAGTTTTGTAGCTGACTGATGGCATTCTTGGCACCCTCTCATCACCTTGTTGATAACAGCTGGGTTCATGCTACCTTGGAACCCAACCTCTGTGCTATCTGACCCTGAAGGCAAATCCTTGAAGAGACCCCCCACCCAACCTCAGGAAGCTTCCAGCAGTTCAGAGCTTAGACACAGAGCAAAGGAGTCCACCTAGAGTTAGGCCAGGCCGCTGTCCCAAGGCCTGCCAGGCCATGCCCCTTTCAGGACCTCGTGTATGCTGTACCCTGTGGGAGTCCCCATTGCTAGTCAGGGCTATTCAGAACAATGCCTGTGACCCACCCCCACCTCTGGTGCGGTGCAGGAGGGCTTCTGGCAGCATACATTACAGCTAAGGGGGCACCAGAACCCCTTGTCCATGATGGGTGCAGCTGAAGGAACTCGCATTGACCACAATCTAGAAGTGGCAGCTGAGCTGTGAGGCCAGAAGGCCCACTATGCCTATAAGCCCCACCAGGCCTGCACAGTCTGCAGCAGGCCTCTGCTGTGCAGGTCCAGCCACACTCACCAAGCCAGCTGTGATCACAGACCACTTTTCTGCCTGAGGCCTGCTCCAGCCACCAGGCCCCACCAACTGCAGGGCAACAGCAATCACCTCCAGCAGCTAGCCACTTTGAGGCAGGGGGTGGGGGGGTTGCTGTTTGCACCGTACACCTTCCAGGCCCAGTGAACAACAGTGGGCACACCGGCTCACATCCAGCAGCAACTTCAGGTGAAAGTGCTGAGGGTCCCTGAGGTAAGCTGTCCTTACTCAACATTAAGTGTGCCTAATGGTTGCACCTGCTTTGTTTTTTGGATTCATATTAGCTTCTACATTGACAGGGAACTTATTTGTTTCCTTCATCACACACCATTGAATCCCCCTGGTTCTCTAATCACTTTAGCTGATTGCCCTCAGGCATGATCTCTTGATTTAAGGCTCTTTTCCAGTTTGGAATGAGCATTTTGCTCACTATTATAGGAATGTTGTTATTATAAATTGCATAGCTTGAAATCACTGATGCTTTAGAAGGTCACTAAGGCCTCTGAGTTTTTATGAGAACTTTAAAAAACTCTAGAAGATTTTTGCCCTTTTTCTTCTTTTAAAGATTTATTTATGCTTACAGAACTGGGGTACAGGCCAGAGGTGTGGTGGGTGAGAAGATCCACCAGAGACAGAGTGGGAAGCAGAACAGGCAGATCTATTGAACCTGTTGTGCCACCAGGGAGGGCCCAGATATTTGCTCTTAGAGAAAACTTGAAGGTAAAGCCTTCCTCTGGCCAAATAAGGCCTAAGAGTTCACAAGGAAGCCCGCTGGGACTCTGGAAATGAGCCTCCCAAAAACCAATTATGAAGAAACTCAGTCCAGTGACTAACCAGCAATAACTTCCAGTGATGCTTTCAGAGAAAGGCCTCAGTCAAAAGGGAGGAAGGGTAAAAAGTGACCTAACTAATTCTTTTTAAACAGGTCGAACGCAATCACTGCAGAGAAATTGCTTTTTAAACTGGGTCTGAGCTCTG